TGTGACTTGATTAATATAGTGATATGTTACCGTTTCCTTGTTTATTTATTTAATACCAGTAGCTGCATAGTTACTACGCTCTGCTTATTTAGAGACTGTGTGATTTAAGCAAAATTTATCTTATTTTTGAGAAACTTCTGTCAATATTACCCAATTGAATCGAGCATAGTGGACTAAGAGACGTTCATTGGCTCTTTCTCTGTAGTTATTGTTTTAACTATGCTTCTATCATTTTTAAAGTGATCTTAGGAAAAAATGAAGAGACGTATAAAAGCTCCTTAGAAGCAAAATTTCACGATTTGTAAAGTAGGTTTTTTTAATTCTTAGGTTTAATCCACTAATTTTACGTTACATGTTTTATATTTACCGACTATAAATAAAACAATTGCCTAACTATATTGCCTTAATTGGGACGAATAAACTATTATGCTCTTAACAATTAAAACAGTATGAATATTTTAATAACTTTATCAAAGAATACAGAACAAAGTTTAACGTACTTTTTTTTAGCTAATTGCACGTTTCCAGTCAAATTGAGTCCAATTTAAATCAAGCGCTTGACACACGATGCGCACGCGCCGGCAATTAAAATCTGATACTTATTTCGTAATGAGTTTAGAGTCATTTTTGAATAACATCTAATCATCGAGAGTGACAGATTTCTAAAGTAATATTTACTTTAATAATCATATTATTGTTATGAAAACAGCTCAATAAGAATATATCATCTACAATAAGTAAATGGACAATTGGATATATCTTTATTGTTTATAAATACACTGTAACTTTTAATTATGCTCTGATTCCTAAACTAGTGAAAACTGTATTTCAAGAGTCAGTATCGTCCCAGTACCTAATTGGGTGCTTAATTTCGATTTGTAAACACATCTTAGTAGGACTTATAGAACTTCTAAATGTAAAAACTTTAGTCTTTCCTCAGATTTGGCTGGGAAAATACGTTTAGTTAATTCGTCTATGTCATAGTATTTCTTTCCTTCCTTTAGTAGGTAGGTTTATCTTAACTAAAATCAGACTTTAGACTAAAACAAATGGATTTTCAACAGGCTGTCTCAATATCAGTTGAAAACGGTAAAATTATCATAACAAAAACATTTATTTCGGCCTCGTTTTGTTTCAAAACAATCGTTTTCGTACGGAGTTATGATAACAAATACTTCAATCAATAACAGTGGGTCTAGTCAAAATGCCATCGCAAACCAATGTGAAGTTTTCACTAATGTCAGTCGCCGCGTCACCAGTGATTCGATTCGATCGGAAAATGGCAGCCAAAATGCACATTGAACCACCAACGACGCGGCGATATAAAAGTTCATTCAAAATCGAATAAAAGTTAAAAAATGTCTATGACTTTGCGATTGTTTTTACTTTTTCTAGCTTTTTTTTTTAAATTAGTTTCTTCCTTCTTTCTGCTCTCTGTTTACATCTATGCTTCGCTGTCAAACTAGCTGTCAAAACGACATCGCGATACGGATTTGTCAAAACAGCCTTAGGGTGGGTTGCACCATCTTAGTTTAACTTTGACAAACGTCTAAAATCTGTCAAACTCCATACAAAAAACACCGGTTAACGTCATAGTTACGTTTAAAGTTAGGTGGTGCAACTCACCCTATTGGTTTTCGATCGAATCCAAGCTTATCACCGGGGTTTTAGTAATCGCAATGAAAATGGCGGGTGTTGCGATTCGATTCGATTTTGATTGAGTCTTAAATGCATGTTGGCTAAGCCTTTGTATGGGAAATTTCAATCCAGTCTTTCGATTATCGATAGGTAGGGCTTTGCGATTCGATTTTTTGCCGTTTGACTAAGCCTTTTTTGTTATCGACCTCTTTTGCGATTTGTTTATTTGTTTGCGACTGGTTTGCGATGGGTTTGCGATTTTAAAGTGCGTTTTGACTAGACCCGCAGAGTGTACTCTGTGTTATGTAACTAGATATTATTTTGGCTACACATAAATCAATATATCGCAATACCTGCAGCCCACTGAAACTTTCTATTTCTTACACTATACGAGTACATTCTCTCGGATTGACATGGTAATTTTACAAAAATGACGGTCAAAGCTCTATTTAAACTGTAGGTGTATTGGTTTTGAATATTTAGACTACTCACTGCTTTTAATCTTATCTTGAGTATAGATTTACAATTGAGTGTTGATTCATTCGCATGTCAGGAGTGATGACATACGAAAGGTCGCTAGCACAAGATGTTATAAGAGACTTTTCCCACCTCTCCTTTCCTGCAATGTGTAGCCAGGATCTGCAGCTTGACCGCCAATAAAAACCCTACCAGGTCAAGTTTGTCTGAACTGAAGATATCTTTGGAAATATCATAGATATTGCCACGAGAGTAAGACCAAATTATAGAAAACACTTTCTACTATACAAAAAGTGGAAAAAGTGGTTTTGCCAAAAGTGTCAGTTATTTAATTCTGCCACGACGATGACGATATGGACTATTCCCCTGATACAAGACGATGTAGGTTAGGTAACACGTGCTTTGTTGAATACCAAAGAACACTAAAAGGAAAAGTTCTTATGAGGTTGGTATTTCCTTGTCTTCTCGTGAGTATTTAACTCTTTAGTATTCAAGGTGCAGAACATATTACTGCTTTAGTGAGTCACGATGTGTCAGCGGTATATCCGCCTTTAACAATAGACAAAGATGGGGTATGAACTTTAAACAATTTACAAGTTTTTTTTTACTTAGATACTTTACAAGGTGGTCCAGATAAGTTAAGGGATTTTATTTTAATACCATATCAAATGATGTTATGCATTTTTTAATCTGAGAAGTACCTAGATTTTCTTTTCGCATTGAAATATGTAAGTAGGTACCTAACTAATTTTGATAATAAATATTTTTTAACTTCAAATATGTAAGTAAATTAAACGTAAACTTCAAATAAACAACGGTTCTTTACGGTATCTTTAACAATTATTTAGTTAATTACATTTTATAACTTAACAAATCCCAATAGGTACTTACATCATAAGAACTCCACATCTGTGATAAGAACCTATCTTTCTTTGCAAACTTTTAATAATTGTTTGATCCGTGGGAACAGTTATTTTATTGAATATTCTAATTAGTCCTATTTGCTCACTTCATGCAGAACTAACCAGTTATTTTAATTATATGAATTGGCAGCCTGTTTCATCCGAGCCAATGTCCCAACCAAACTGGAATCCTCTAGCCCAGTGTTTTTCAACCTTTTTCATGCATTTTATAATGTTATAAAGATGTAGGAACCGAATATTTTAAAATCTATCTTTATAACTTTACTGATGTCTAGCCAAGATGATCCGGGAGCGCTGACATGCAGTACAGTCAGCGTCAAATATGTAGTTCGTGACACCCAAAGCAGCCAAAACGTTCACAACACGTCTTTGTTACAATTGGAATAAGGTTGTGTTGTCAACTTTTTGGCTGACTGTACAAATCACGGCACATAAAGCTAAACAATGTGGCATACTGGCATCTTAAGATGTTGTAATAGGGGAGATTTTTCAACAAAAATGTATAGTCTGACGTGATGTTGGCTGTACACAGCACATGATAATTAATTGGATCATCATCATCATCTCAGCCATAGGACGTCCACTGCTGAACATAGGCCTCCCCCAATGCTTTCCATGTTGCCCGGTTGGTAGTTGCCTGCGTCCAGCGCCTTCCTGCTACCTTTATGATGTCGTCGTCCACCTTGTGGGTGGACGTCCCACGCTACGTTTTCCGGTACGCGGCCTCCACTCCAGATTAATTAATTGGATATTAATCAGCAAAACCTTCTTAATTCTAAGCTGAAAATCTTTAAAGCTTTGTAGGTTTTTCCCAGTTTTTCTAAATTTAGACTTTTAGTAGCTTTGAAAGCTCATTAAATAAGTCAATTGAGTATACGGACTAGTGAGTTAGTGACTTCATGGAGCCCCTTTGACAGTCAAACTCTATGTAGAGCCGCGTTTTGACAGTTCTTAAAAATATGTCAACTAACTGGTAAAAAAAACCTTTTTCGTCTCACCACACACCAGCAAACATGCGACAATGCCCTGAAAATAACTTTTTTGTTACAACAAAGGCTTTTCGTGCACTTAAAGAGATTTAGAACAAATGATTCAAGATTTTGTGAGATAACATATTTAAAGATATAAGTAAATGAGTTTGCATATTATCTTTGTTTATCTTGAGTGTGTTCCTTTACAATCTAGCAACTGATTGTTTATGCTATGTTAATAACGTGTAAGAAAATAAAAAAATATTAATAGTGTAGATAAAAGATGGTAGATAAGGGAGACGACATCATAGGTAAAGGTAGCAGGAAAGCGCTGGACGCAGGCCGCTACCAACCGGGCTACATGGAAAGCATTGGGGGAGGCCTATGTTCAGCAATGGACGTCCTATGGCTGAGATCATGATGATGATGAGATAAGGGAGAAAGTTGAATACCTCAAGCAATGGGTCATGAACTCATGATGATAAGAAGAGCAACAATTGCAAAAACTATTCAAATAAGTTTTATGTTGTTATACCTTATTATTACCTACTGAATATTTTTTGTAATTACCTGATAACCGAAATTCACACACAATTTTATTTAGAAGGGAAGATGAATGTTATTATGTAGGTACCAAATACTAAATTACAAATATCAATCTCAGCCGATTTGTAGGTATCTACTACCAAATTACAACTATCAAATTTAGAACCGAGATTAATTTAGAACTATCAAATTTAGATACATAATAATGTTATTTTCTTAGGTATTCTCATGTAACCTACATTACGTATGTATTTTCAGAAAACAGTTTTTCTTGTGATGTTGTCCAGGCACCCAGAGTCTAAGTTTTGCTAAGTTTACGACTAGATGGCGCTGTTTATGATAACCATGGAAAGGCCTAAGTCTTAAATTAACAATACGTTCTCGAATCAGTCATCCATACATTGACCATTCAGTTCAAACCTACAATTAATAAAAAGTTACATACCGGTTCATTCAAAGTAGTATTCGATGATGTACTGATGGCGAACACTTCTGTACTGTCAGCTAGTTGCATTTTTCCGCTTGACATGCAATCTAGGGCACCCATACTCTATCTTCACTTGTAAATGTTTCAAATCTTTTCACTGGTATTAACTTGTAGTTTTAACTCAAAGTCATAGTAATAAAGTCTTTATTTACCAACACACAACGCCTACGTTAAACTAAATCGAAATAACACAACACAATCGATTAAATTTCAAAACATCGATAACAACTACAAAGCACCTAGCAACCGTGATTACTACACGCGTCGATAAAAGTACTTCAAGTTCTCACAGTAAACGTAAACAAACGGCTGTCAAACAAAATAGAACAACTTTCGTTTGAAAAATCGGAACTGGGAAACCGTAACCCACGAGCTGTGTCTCACAACTGACAGTGTGCGTGCGCGCAGCAGGCCAACGATATGTGAGCAACGGTATATTGGATGTGGCATCTTTAACTTTCCTTATCAACTCGTATTTGAGATGTGAATCATTGTGATAAATGGCTTTACGTTAATGTTTTCGTTGACATGTTAAAATTACCTTCGTGACAACGCGGTGTTAATTGCGGTAGCATGCATGATGACTCATTAGCATTTTAATAGCGATTGAATTAATTAGATTACGTAAATGGAATAATTGTAAATTCTTCGTTTTCTGTTAGGTGCTTATGAATGCTGTTTACAAGATTTACTTTCTTGTCTTATCAACAAAGTTCTTTTGTATGAATCAGGTTAATTTACTTCTAACGTCAGAATATTAACATAAACTTATTTTCTTCTTGGATGGCTTAAACATGGAGTGCAGGTGCGGTTTTGTTCCCCAGTCGATGAAGCACCTGATGTCGTGCCCTGAGTGCCCAAGCAACTGCACTCAGGAGGATTTGATGAGTGCTGCTGACAACGCCACTCTTGTGGCGGAGTTTTGGGCTGACACTGTAGGTTTATTGTCGACACAAAAAGAAGAAGAATTTATTTTCAAAATTGTGGTAGCTGAAAATAAACCATAATAGGCGTGCGTTCTTTGTAATCTAATAAATCAAAGGTTATCTGTTAGTTTTACTGAAGTGATAAGAAATAACTAACTATTATGACTGTTCATGTATGTTTCATCTATTTATTGTTACACATGACAGTTATTACACCAGCCCATATGCTGTGCTGAAGGGCAAGTTATGTTTGGGACATGCGTGTGGCCTGAAAAAGGTCTACATGGTAATAAAGAATTTGGATTTGGAATTGATAGATTTCATTGATAGATGGTGCTACAGGATACTGATTTCCTATTTCGGATTTGGAGCAGTATGAACAGTCCTGTAAATCAACCAGGGCCAGAAAATTACCATATTAAGCTGCCCGCTTTTACTGTCATCAGGCTTGCAACGGAGGGAAGTCGAACCTTAACTTCAAACTCCTCCTACGTTCTTCTAATTAATTTCATTGCGGGTCCAATGATCCTCGTAGTTAACTTTCCCCCGGGACAAACTTGACTTTTACTGGTTGGGTTTTTATGGCGGTCAAGCTGTAGATTCTGGCTACACAGGAGTTGCAGCGTTGGGAACGAGAAGTGGTAGTTTCGTGCTCGTTTTTTACAAAATACCTTTTAACTACGAGTAGGTTGCTATTACAGTCTTAAAGGAATGTTATTAGGAGAGTGGGATTTCAAACGTTAATAAGACTTTGCGAATCGAATCTTTTATCTTCTTACGGGTCGACTGGGCCAGGATTGTATTAACTTTATTATGAATAAGTTATTGCTGTTTAATGTGCCACATCCATTCACTCGTTTTCGTGGCTCCAGCATCATGTTATAGCAACAATCTCGCATGAATCACACGTGAGCACCATACGACACGCGCCACCGCCTCTGGGGACTGATGTTGGCTGTCCGACTGTCAACTTGGCTGACCACGTCGACAGCGTTCGTAAACTCTATGCACTTCTAGCAACAAACTTTCGTCTTCGAATCGTTTGCGTATTCGACAAAATTCGATACACAGCCTTCAAATTCAACAATAACGTGACGATCTCGATTGTCAAAATTAGTTTCGTGCTATCATTTCTCGTACTAAGTTCACTACGTCACATGTGCGCTGTTTATGTTTTCATACAAAATCTTTTGAATACGCAAACGATTCGAAGTCGAAAGTTGTTCGTGTTAGAGGTACTGACCGATTAACTACGTCCAGCGGTCGTTCCAACGCAGTAGGTCACGTAACATGTTGTTTGGAGAGGAACTACGTTTAAATGCGACCATTTGTTGCTTCATTTGATGAGTTATAGCGTCCACTTTTTTTAATAGAGACGCTCAAGCAGGATGACGTGTACTGATAATGCTTTAAGACATTGGTTTCCAAGCTTATTTGAGACGCGCCCCCTTTCGACCATACCAAAAATTCCGCGCCCCCGCCTCCTCCAGTCAAGATTATTTATTGGTCGTATCGAGCAGTCTGGAATGCATTCTCTCAGCAGTCGCAGGTTTTTTATAGGTATTAATAATAACTAATTAGTGCTTTATTTATCATTACACATCAATACACAGTTGTAGTGTCTAGTAAATTTGGATAACAACGTTTGCGGTACACAAGTCAATAAAATTATTATACTTTCTAGCTTTTGACAAACTTTTTCCTAACAGTAACGAAAACAAATAATTCATAGTGTTTTATTGTAATAAAAATCACTTAATCATTAAAAATAGTAGTTAAATCCCTGTAAACTGTTTTATGTCCTTCAAAATAAAATATTTAAAAGTACTACATAATTATCTTTTGAGTCATTCAGTAACACTTAGGCCTCAGCCTCGAACATAGCGGGCAGCGGGGCGGCGGCGGCGGCGGCGCGGAAGCGGAGGATCTTATGCGTAAAATCAAATAGACCGGTTCTCGAAAACAGCGGCGCGGCAGCGGGGCGGCAGCGGGCAACGAGCGGGCAGCGGCGAGGGAGCGGGCAACGAGCGGGCAGCGCACTCCTTCTTTTGCCCACAATAAATCGAGCGTTAGGAATAAATTTGAATCGAAATAAGATTGTTGCCGTTGTTCAGACATTTCGTTTGCGATTAAAAACAAATATCTCGACAACACAACCCCGAAGTGCCCCGAACACAACACTTCGCCGCTAAAGCGCCGCGCGAGCTGCCCGCTTGTTGTTCTAGCGATGGGCGTTATTCGTTATCACTGGTTATTAAACGAGTGATTAGCCCGACCAGTGATCACTCGTTATCCAAAAACGCCTAAACTAGTTTTTTTCTTAACGTCATACAACGTTAGAATCTCTTCGTTATTCAACACGATTGCTTCCACAACGCTCTAAAGCTAAACTGAATTCACTCGTAAGCAAACAGCATAAGGTAGACGTTTGGTTGACACAAAAAATAACGTGTTTCCGGCTTCGTTATGACAGTTTTGAGGACAACGTCGTACATTGACGATTCTTAAACATATTTTTGTAACCTAAAGGAGTAAAGCGAGTAATGTATGGTGTCCAAATAATAAGGATCGCAACGAATCGAGTGCGTGTGCGAGTGAGAAAGCCATAGGACGTTAACATAAGTGTGGATGAAATAGGTATAATCTTCGTCGTACGTTAGATATTCAATCGAATTTGAGTCTTATTTTGAAGGTCATAAGTTCCTAAAGGCCTTGCAGCTAACCAAACACCTAACGTTATTATTATCACTCTTGCTTGAGCGTTGTGGAAATAACTTCGTTTAAAAAAAACTAGTTTTGAAAACGTTATTCGTGATTCGAAAACCGTCGCGTTTCGTTATTTCAAAAACCCATAACGACACATCTTTATCGAGAACGGGTCTGCGTTGCCCGCCCCGCTCCAGCGCCGCCGCCGCTCCCGCCCCGCTGCCCGCTAAGTTCGAGGCTGAGGCCTTAGGCTGGGTTGCACCATCTTACTTTAACTTTGACAAAAGTCAAAAATCTGTCAAACTCCATACAAAACACACCGGTTATCGTCATAGTTACTGTTAAAGTTAGGTGGTTTAACTCAGCCTTAGAGGCAATCATAGTAGGTAATACCGATAGCAATAAGTACTTTAGAAGGAAAATATTTACTTATTCTAAGGATACTGGTAGTACGAGTACTTGTTTAACCACTCGTACTTCAACATTTGCAATGGAAAAACAGAATAACCAATATAGTTAAATAAGTAAAACCAATACCTACTCATTGTAATGCTACTTAGATAAGTAAACCTAAAAATACCAAAACAAAGTTTACAAACTAATTTAAAAACGATTTATTTATTTAAACAAGTTCATTTAAGTCAATATTTTTAGACCCCAAAATACACTTATCTTGGGTACGTAACTTAGGGTTTAAAGAAGAAGTTAATTTGCTTCTAGGCAGTTCCTTATCGTGTAGATGTAATAAAATTTTATTAGTTAAACACTCCACTAGTAGATGCGTAAAATAAAACTCTCACCACTGTAATTCCTTGCCAGTCTGCATCTGTAGCTTGACTACTGAAACTGAAGTGTATAATAGACCCAAAAAAGCCTCTACATAAACACTATGTACTATGTATGATACCACGTTTTCACAATTCAGTGTTTACCAGGGGCGTTTTAGCCTAGGCGCAGACCAGCGACTTTTAGTCGGCCGATAGTTGGACCCGATTTTAATTTGTATGAAGATTCGCCCATACCAAATCGGTCTAATGTGCGCACTTTCATTCATGTCCAACTAAAAGTGGGTGGTCTGCGCCTAGCCTTAAAGAACTTAGATACCTGTAGTAACAAAGTTTCGTATAATCAGAGGATAGAAAATCAAGGGTGTAGGTACTTCCACATTACCTACTGAATACAGTGCCACCATCAATAACTCTCCCATAGTATACAGAAGTTACTCCCATACCTAAAGATATCCATGTAATTACTACTGGCGTGTATCTTAATAAAGATAAAGATATTTTTATTTACCAGATCATGTGTGACAATATTACAATACAGAAATATATTTTTGGTGTTAGTAGGTTTTAATTAATTTTTGCAAAGATTGAAAAATCTCAGACTGCTTCTAGCACACTTTAATCTGCTTTTCTTCGAAGGTTTTTTAACGGGGTCATGTTGTAAGTTGTGCAAATACCAGTCTGCCATTCAGTGGAAGGAGTGACTCACACATATTTACTTTCGCTCGCCTGACGCATTGGTATTGGTTTTATATTGCCAATGTTTGAGAATACGGCTTGCATACAAATGAAAACTATGTAGTAGCAATTGTTTAACTATCAGAAAAATGCATCGCTAAGTGATTTTGTTAAGAGAAAAACTCAAAAACAGCTTGCTTGACCTATTCATCAATTTTCAAAAATTCATTTAAGCGGGAGTAAGGTTATATTGAACAGAGGAAAATCCCGGAGATATAGGTACAATCTGAAAGGCTTTTC